AAGCAGAATTAAGACAGAGTCACTAAGGTGATAAGCTGGTGCGGAGTGATGAGAACAGCCAGAGAAAACACCTCATAACCAAAAACTACTCATATTTAATGAATTGGGCATCGAAGGTGGATTTCCATGATAAGGAGGGCCGTATCAGCAGGGCGCTGTTACAGAAAGCACGCCCGCATGAAAGTGATCTCCCCACATGCTGAACAGCAGTGTTATTATTCTCTATGGAGAAAATGAAACACTTCACAAAACTGCTGCAGAAAGCGCAGGCCAAGATGGCCAAGCTCATTTCTAGATTCACCAACAATGAGGAATGTCCTTTCTGGCCTCTGTTTCTATGATCATGCCACTGACGCCCAGGAGCCATACTGTCTGGCCAGAACACATCACAGGGCAGGAGGGGGAGAGGGAGGGCGACAGACAGAGAGCTCTCTCCCTCTGTTTGCCTCTCTGTCCATCTAAATCTACTGAACAGTATATATTATTATATGAATGCCAAGAATAAGGTGTAGACAAAAAAAAGTATCAGATTAAAGTTCTATTATTTAGGTAGGGTTCGTGGGTTCGGCAGCATCTTTCTACTCAAAGAAATTCCTAGATATTCATAAAAATAAACACGTAATTTTATTAGTCTCCTGTTTGTGAGTCTTTCTGTAGCATCATGCCCAACCTTTTGGGTAAAACGCATAGTTTTACGTCTTGTACTATCAGCTCTTTGCACATCATCCTTGCATTTTCCACATGTTTGTGCGCATCTGATGCCGAAAGGAAAAAAATATGAATCTATTGGCAGACAGAGTTTATAAAAGTGAACTGGAAGCTCAGCTTTCCCCCTTTCCTGTAAAAGAAACATAACCACTTTAGACTTTCTTCCGAATTTCTGTTCTTTTTTTTGTCAAACTAAACACAGGTGATGAGTTATGCGGATCTGTATGTTCACTTTTTTTGCCCTCATGTGCTCATGGCCAGCGCCGGTTTCCCGCAGACAGACACACAGACAGCTGGGGTTTACAACGACAGCAAAAAGCGCACAGGGCTCAATGCGGCATCAGTCCACCGCTGCTGCTGCTTTTATGAAGCCTGGCGTCACTCAGTCTGCAGGCTCAGATAGGCTAATTACCTAATGCTTTATCACCAGGACACCCCTTCCCAAAAAAGTAAACACGCCAGCTTCCTTTTTACTACAACTCAACTGCGAGTCATTCTGCAGCTACAAAATCCAGGCTCGGACCTAACCTCCACACCTTCACTGCAAATATGCGATTAGGAGCAATGACATTGAAGTCGCTCGGTTCATTCTTGTGTGATGAAGGCATGCTACTACAGAGAAAACACGTGTAGGAGCAAAGAAAACTGCAGTTATTATTTTTAAATACATCTTGAGTACTTAATTCAGCTCAGCTTTGCAACTTTATACTGAACTCAGCATGTAGATGACAACTCTGAACAAATGAAACCCCCCTTAAAGTTTACCGACAGTGCAAGAGGGTAACATTTAATTTTGATACTATTTCTCTCTTAACAGGAATTCAAATTCGCGTGACATAAAAAACAAATATACATTTAAAATATTTAAAGGAAAAACGAGCCAGTTAGTTTAATTTCTCACCTCTGTAACAAGTGCAGTGCAGACAGCCGTGTGAGTGTGCGAGGCTTTCCTGTTTGTAGTAAGTCAGGCCAGCACACTGAGGCTGCGAAGGTGTGTGCCTGTTTGTATGTGTGTGTGATTGAGTCTGTGAGCATGTGTAGAAGGGTCAAGTTGGCCTCAATAACACTTTGCGCCCTGCTGGTGATTTCTAAATAAAAGCATCGCCAACTCAATTTGTAGATGCCAGTTTATAAACGAATATAGCCAAAGCCTCCATTTGACAAAAGCCAGATTTAAAAAAAACGAGAGAAAAAGTTTCTATATGTTTATACATTTTTGTCTATTTTCAATCAATATTTGAAAATTCTACTTTTAAAAGTGAAGTACAAAACTACTTTTGTCCGCTGTGGAAGAGAGACAGACATAATTAATAACTAATGATTAAATGCAGAGTGGTGCGGTAAGCACCAAGAAAGTGGAAAAGGTGAGTGAAAAAAAACAAACACTTGGCATTACAAGTCATTAACTTTAATAAAATAACATCATTATTTTTTATATAAATCTTCTAAGTGAAATTATTATCAGTAATTTCTACAGGTAAGTGTTAGAAAGGAGGTTGTAAAGTAAGTCTACATGAAAATAAATAAATAAAAAACATTAAAAAAAATGTTTTGTTTGCTTTTATAATCTTGTAGAGGACATCGCACATAGTGTGAACTTCCGCGTTTATTATGAAGGCTCAGTCTTAGTTATTTCCGGCGTTGTTCGTTGCGGTCGCTTTGACGCAGGTTTGTGAAGCTCGGAGGCTCCACTCCTCCAGCAGCCCCAGCCGAGCGCCACACAGCCTCGGCGGCGTCAGCCTGGCTGGAACCGCAGCGCCTGCATGCTAGATCCCTCCGCCTCCCCCCTCCTGGAACTTTCTCAGGATTTCAGATTTAGCGCTCGCGGCAGCACGCACGAGCGTTTGTGTTCGAGCACCTGAGCTCCCAATCACCTAATCACGATATAAAGGAAAAGAAAAATAGAGAAATAAAAATCCCCAAATCACACCTGTTCTAGTATTGCAGAAGATATCACTGACTTTACCTGATAAAACTCCAATAATTATTGTACTTAAAGTGTTTATCAGCGAGATTTTTTTACACCCATCTCTCTGCCTGTGAGGGTCTGTTTGCTGTCATCTTCTTCCTTTACAGCAACGAGCACCTGTTGGGCGCAGGCCAGGCTATAGGTGCAATGTACCGAGTATAAGACTAAATCTGCTTCTATGTATTAACTTTTAAGTTATATATAAAGTCCAGCTCGGGGAGGATCAAATCTGCTATCATATCCAACCACCTCACACTGTTACTTGCCTGTGGCCGCGCGCACGTGCACGCACATGCTGCACCTGTAGGCTTAAAAAAGAAAAGATGAAGTAAAACATCTTCCCGTTTAGTACTCAGTCTTTATGCATGATTCCACACATGCGGTGAAATCATCTTTATTTATATATATAGTTTTTCTTCGTCTTAAAAATCCAGGTTTGTTTTGTTATCCATTGTTGGGAACGCTGAGGTCTTTCTCATTGCGGATGGATACGATCCTTTATTGGGAGTGCCGTGACTGGTCCAGTTAATGACGCAAGCCCGGCTGGCGACAGTGAGTCTACAAGTTTGACATTTTCAGAGTTTACAGCAACTGCTGCGGGATGTAACAACACTCCCAACGCGAAGTGAAACTACTTTGAATATCTCATAAAAAAACATTTTTTTTTTTTTATCTTAACCACCAGGTAAACCATCAGGACACACCACTAAATCAATCGGCCGGTGTGCGCCTAAAAAGGTGGGGGACTAAGAGTCCAAGGTTTGGTTCGGGGACCGCCAAAGAAGCCGCGGGAAGGTTTCAGAGCAGGACCGAGAGCAGTGGGCTGTGCAACCTGTTTGATCACCGTTTTAGATGCGAGCACAACAGCCTGGAAGGGTTTTAATCGCCCATTAGAAACACGGGGCCTATTTTGTGGAGCATTACATTTGGTTTCTTGAAATTAAATTTCATTTCATATCATGGAGCTAATTGGTGCCAATCGAATGCTTTTGTAAATCTTTAAATATGGCACCCTAATTTTCTGCAGTGCCAAATCTGGAAACTAGAAATGCGCAGCTTGCGATTCCCCACTTATGTGTCTTGTGTGGTAGGGCAGACACAGCCAGACGAGCGGGGCACAAACAGGATGCGCTCCCTGGGGCTCCGGGAGGCCCTCAGAGACATCCGCATGAGCGCGAAGCACAGACCTCAGGCTTGCATAAGAAAACAGCACTATTAAAGTTCATTTACTCAGACCACAAAAACGCTTGCTGGACTCCTTCCAAGATGTCCACACTGGGCCTGGGAGACAAACAAAAGGATGAATATTGAGATAAATACCGCAGTCCAGGGTTTCCTACTTTCTTTCATGTTGAGGAAAGGCCAGATCACACTGCCTACTGTGCTGAACATTTCCTAGAGCTGACCCCAGATAACTTAATCAGTTAAACATGATTTATACCAAATTAAACGTTTAGTGGAGTTAGAGCCTGCAGACATCTAGTAATAATATTTCAAAGGTACTTTCCTGACCCTGGTACTCTCTGTAAGAAGCCTGAAAGGTGCCTCACTGCATGTTTGGGAACATCAGTCACAATTAGTCAAGTTTTAAGACCCATTAAAGATCCTCGGCCCTACTACAAGAAACTCCTTTAGCTTCAGTATTAACAAAGACATGTCATGTCTTTACCAAACACTGTAGCTGCAGTAAGCATTGTTACAAACACAGCAGAGTAGTTTAAGTTTCTCTGTATTGTATGAAACCATGTCATCACTGACGGTTCTTTAATCTCTACGTCAGAGGTGTCAAACACGAGGTCTGGGGGCCAGAATCGGTCTGGCAAAGAACTCAATTTGGGCCACTGCTCGAATTTGGGAAATATAAAATGTGAAGGAGGGCATTGATTTTGGATTTGAATTCATAGGTTTCATAGCATTTCCTGCTGATAAAGAGCTAACTGTGTAGTTAAACATCTTTACACTGACAGAAAGGGCAGTTTCGTTGCTACGGCCAAAGATCAAAGTGGGCTGTATGTGGCCGACCGTGTAAAATGAGTTTGTTTACTGCACATTTCTATCAATTTCTTTCTCTTTCTGCTCAGGATAAATCCTGCCTGTCACTCGGTATCAGCTGGAATAGGCTTCAGCCCAACTGCAACTAAGGTGAGAAAAGCAGTTAAAGGATTGGATTAATGGATGTTTTTCCTCCCATTCACCAATCTGATTACATACTGTAAAGCATGTTGTTGTTTTCATACCATCAGTCATTCGTTGATTCTATTTGACAGCAGTGCAAATTGGGGGAAAAAAACAAAAAACAAAGAAAATCAGCAAATTCTGACAATTCAAAATCAATCAAATGCTCATATTTTTTTGAATTAACAACAGTTGTCAGTTACAGTTCTGTAGCTCAACCTATTGTTGCAGCTTTAGTTACTAACAATTATCGAGTCATAAATCACTGACTTTTTTATTATTCTTGTTCATGTCATTAAGCCCATCAACCCTACAAAATAAAATTAGTCCTCCACATAACACCACTAAAAGTCCTTCTCGCGGCTGACTGGGCACAACATGATGTAACTTAGTTCAAGGACGAGCCACAGAGATGTTCTGTAACCCATGGCAACAGATTTTTTTTTTTTTAACATAAGCCATAACAAACAGTAATCAAATAAAAATAAAGGCAGGATCCAGGAGGAAACCACAACTGTGTCATTACTTCACATCCAGTGATGCCTGGAAAGGAGAAGTATTGATACACCGTGCTTTGCTTCTGATTACAGTGAATGATGGACACAGCTGTAACGCTTCCCCCCCCCCAAACCACCCAAAGGCTTGGTGGCCGTATCATAGGCCGTCTCTATGATACAAGGGCTCGTCTGATTGGCTAATCAGTCTTATGCGACGACTGCAGTTTCCAGGCTCCGGTGATGTAGCGCAGGCGAATGAAAACCAGGTCTCGTCCCATCTGCAGCCAGCTCCAAAATGGTACCAGCTTGGACCCTGTTAGAACAAACCCAGAGGCGCTTCAGCTTCAAGTCGTGCTTTCATAAGACAAATACTGGAAATATGCTTGTGTAGATCAACTTCTACAAATGCCTACAATTTTCAATTATTACAAAAGGTCTAAAAATAAATGCAATCAACCACAAACAGACTTCCAAACACACCCTACAGAGATATTTATAGCCCTCCAGATAGGTGGCATGGTGGGAAGAGACATATTTCATAGAGAGAAAAAAAAAAGTCGTACCTTCTATTTCAGTCCAGTTGACTGCCACCTCAGCTATGGGGATTTTAAAACACTGGGCAATATACAGGAGCTCCACATCAAAAGCCCTGTGAGAAGAAAGTGGATTTAAAGTTCCTGTTTTACTGCAGGTTAAAACCTAAAACCTCACTGTAACTCCATCACCTGTGCTAGGTATAAATCCTCAGGACTTCTTAGTTATTTAGTATTAATTAAGACTGTTTAAATTTCACCAAAAATTCACTTCTTGGAGTTTTCACCAGTTAATTATCAGAAAACAGATGAAACATCCTTGTGACTAGTGTTTGTTTCGGTTACTTTGCATCGTGGACAGTTTGCTGCTCACCTAACGGCCACTCAGGAGGGATCTTAGCAAGATGTCTGAACCACCTTAACTGTCTGTTTTTGATTTGAAGGAGAAGCAGATAATTTCAGAATCTATTTTAAATTTCTAATGGAGAGCCCAGCCACCCTTTGCTGCAAGCTCATTTCTTTCACTTGCATCTGCACTCTCCTTCTTTTTGGTCTCTACCCACAGCTCATGGCTCTGGGTGAGGGTAGAAACGTGGATTGACCAGTAAATCAACAATTTCACTTTCACACTCAGCGCTCTCTTCACCACTGCAGGTCCATCTGTGAATATCCCAATCCACTCTTCCCCCACCCGTGAACAAAAAACACAGGATACTTAAACTCCTTCACTTGGGGCAGCAGCTCATCCATGTCCCCGAGTCAGCGGCGCCACACCATTTTATGCCTGAGAATTGTGGACTCGGACTGCTTAAAGTCCTAATTCACTTTAAGCGTGTGTAAAGTTTATCTGGTTGCAATTTGTAACATGACATAAATGTGGGTTTCAGCCCTGAAAATTCCTCATGACATAGATTTGCCATCCTACAGTTCATCTGGGGTTGAGATGACACTAAGAGTACACCAACTGTAATTCCCTGAGGCATGGATTTTGCACATATAATGTCCACAGCTCCACCGAGACCTTGTACTGCTCATGTGAACGTCAAAGCTCTGTGTAAAGTCTTCTCCAGCACATTCCAAAGAATCTCAGCGAGGTTAAGGTCTGGACTCTGAGGTGGCCAATCCTGCTCCCTCAACCACTCTTTGACTCATGAATCCCGGCACTGTCATCTTGGAATACTGTGTGTTGATTTAATTGATGTAACTTTCTGGGTTTAGACCCGACAAACTGAAGCAATTGCAGACATAACAATAATCTTGTACGGTAGGCATCACTCCATCTGCCTCTCCTCTCAACCTGATGTAGTCATCACTCTGGAACAGAGTAAATCTGGACTCATCCACATGACCTTTTTCCATTGCTCCAGAGTCCAATCTTTATGCTCCATAGCAAATTAAAGCCATTTTCTCAGATTAGCCTCACTGATAAGTGGTTTTCTTAAGGCTATGCAGCTGTTTAGTTCCAGCCCCCTGAGTCCCTTTTTGCAGTGTTCATTGTGCACTTTGCAGAAACATTCTTACTTTCACAATTAAACATAGCCCTGACTTCTACTGCTTTCATAAAATGCCTTTATTATATTATCTATCTATCTATCTATCTATCTATCTATCTATCTATCTATCTATCTATCTATCTATCTATCTATCTATGCGCTTTTCGGCTGAAGTTCAATTTTTTTGAATTTCTGTATAAAAGGACCTGAACAATCACACCACTGCGTTTGGCAACAAGCACGTTCGCAGCTCTTTGCTGAATAAACAATGATGTGGAACAAGTGAAGTAACACTATTTTACCTCAGACACACAGCTAGACGTCGCTCCGGGTCAATTGGCTCTCTGAAATTATTTCTCTGCCTTCTCAGATGTGGCCTCAAAACTTAATTTGACTTTTTCACAATGCGCTCAGTGTGTAATGGCCTTTAGACAAAATTTTCCAGGAATCCCTTTGCTAAACATATGACACATTGGTTAAGATTTGTAAATTTCTGCTTTTAATATAGTCGAGGTGAATGCACATTAGAGCTAATACTTTAAGCTAAGACATCATCATGTGCCAACAGTGGAGGCTGTTTCCTTACCATCGCTCTACATGGAGAGAGGAGAAGGTCTTGAGTGCAGCCTCACGTGTGAAAAGCTTGAAGCCACACTGAGTGTCCTTGATCCCCTTCACGCAAAAGAACCACACCAGGAAGTGGAAGCCATACATAAGGAACGTCCGAAACAAAGACCGCTGCAAAGACACCAAAGTGTGGTTATTTACTGCTCTGAAATTTGTTTTCGAACACATTATTTTTTTTAAGCAGAATAAAATAAAACCCTGTTACCTGAGCTACAGAGTCTTTCTCTAGGTGAGCTCTGGATCCACATGAAATTGCCATGTTCTCCTAGATGTGAGAGCAGCACATGAGGCGTTAGGCTTGGCCACATTTTAACCACTTTTACACACTTATATATCGAATAAGTGAGACTGAATTTAAAACAGAACAGAACACCATCACACCGGTTTGGGGTTGAGGTCATTGAGTCCAGCCTCCACTTTCTCAATGTCAGAAAACTTTGTGGCTCCATCAGCATCTGCCATCAGAATGACTTTCCCTCTGGAGCTCAGAGTTCCCTTTAAAAGAAAAAGAGATAAAAACAAAACAAAAAAACCAAAGTCAGCTCCAAACTGCTGCTTCAGGGTTCCCATTTGGACACACACTGTAATCTCACATCTACAATCTCACCATCCGCACAGCTCCTCCTTTCCCTCTGTTCTTCACCAGCGTCAGGACGCGCACTTTATCAGCACTGTACTTCGTAGTGTACCGCAAAGCAACCTGCCAGGACAACACAACATTGTCCACTCATGAAACTGATCTATACTGGCTGAAAATGTTTAGCTGAGCAAAACGGAGTTGTGCTAAAATAGAAGGCCTGGTTACATTTGCCCCAAAAAAGATTTAAAATTATTACCTCTGTGGTTTTGTCTTTGCTGCCATCATCCACCACGATGACCTCATAGGTAAAAGAGGGGTTTTGTTTCTGCAGTCAGAAACAAAAACAGACAAAAAAACACAAAAACAGGAGAGACTTGTTTCACAACAGCCACTTTACCCAGATCGTTGTTGCCACCTACTGGTAAGTCTGCGAATAACATATCCAGCAATATACGTTTTTTGTTTTGTTTTTTAAATAATGAACGTTATCCATCACCAGTGCAGACAAAAAGGCACTAACATCAGTTATTCAAGAAACCTAAATACACAAGGTTGCGGAAAAAAAGGAACCAGTGACCAAAAAATGTAAACAAAATATAAAAAAACTAAACAAAAAACAAACTTGAATTGTATCTCTGATAAGATACAACTAATTTAAGGGCTTTCCTGTCATTCAAATTTTTAAACCATCTGTTTCTACATAGTTTAGCCTTAAAGTATCTACATTTATTTATTAATAAATGTTCTTAATAAAAACACAGTCCTGATAACAGTCTTTTTTGTTTGCTTTTTGTGTGTCAGATTTTGATTATAAATAAATATCCCAACTGTAATTACAGTTACTGTTAAATGTGGTAATTGGATATCCGGTGATACATGTCGTTGTATATGCTTTTAAATGTGCTGCTTTTTACTGTAAATATAATTAAGCTTTAATTCAGGCTCTGCACTTACCTGCCTGTTTTCCAAGTACTCCATAGCTTCATCCATCATCGCTGGTACTGAAGGGACACACAGTAACACACATATAATAGCAAGTACAACCTACTGCAGGTGCACTAACCTGGATGGATTGCACTACTAACGCCTAAGTGAAAACTGTGACTATTTACAGTGTGTGTCTAATGCGGGCATTCATAATGACTGACAGAGCAGAAAAGCAGACTTTACTCACATCGGAGCTCCTCGTTGTAGGCCGGGACCACCACAGAGAGCTCCCTGGAATGGGGATCATGCAGACTGGGGAAGAGCCGCTTCTCTCCAGTGGCGGTGAGAAAGTATTTCTCCTTCTCATGGCGTGTCAGGTCCACCATCCCTGCGGTTAAGTGTGCTATTACGAGCAACTGAAAAGTGAGAAATATGAGAATTGCATTTGATTTACAATTGAATCTTTCTTGTGACGCATTTTGGCCAAACATCTCCAAAGCACATTGTTTCATAAGTCTTGTGGTTTGTTTAGATCCAAGACTGAAAACCTACACTTCGCTCCCATGTTGGTTTTAGAGAGAAGACCTTATAAGACTTTCTAGACTCATGATAACATATGGTACATATTTGCTCGCATGCTTTTAGATATAGACCAGTTTCTAAAGTTTTACATTTTAGGATATAACAAAAAAAATAATCTCGTCCTTAGCAGATCTTAAAATTGAGTAAATACAACCTCAGATGAACTACAAAATATGACATAGGAATGCAGAGAGTAATTAGCAGTCAGGTGCCTGCTATTAACTAATGATCAGCAAGTTTGAGCACCTCTATAAAAAAAAAGAAGGACGTTTTCTGGTCTGTGTTACCCCATCCCAGGGGTGGAGTAACACAATGCCAAGGAGGAAAGAGATCAACTGTGTCTGTCATCATCAGCTTGCTTCTCTGTGCTACTTGACCCCTCTGTTGCTTTAGAACAGAATGAAAAGGAAGTATCATAAAACTGAGGTACATGAACAGGCCTGTAAAAGTCTACAAGTGGCCCGAGTCAAACACAATGCTCAAGGATAATTTGGAAAAAGTACAAAAGGAAAGATACCCACGCTATCACTGTAACTGTATTTGGGCAACTTCTCCCAAAACAACTTAGCTACAGCATCTCTCATCCAAAGCACTGATTACTCACCACGACGAAAACTACAGCTGCCAGTGCGACGAGGGCTTGAACTATTTCACAGAGGAAATCCATTTTCCATCAGGTTACCTACCCTACACCCACTGACAGACAGACCACCTGCAGGGGCTAGCTCAGAAACTAGCTGGCTTTCTCCTTTCTTTTGCTTTTTGACACACAGCCTGTGCTCTAACTTCCTGGTGTGTCCAAATATATGTACCAAATTACGGGCTTACGATATTATTCAGAAGGTTAAAATGTTAAAAATGAGTCCTTATGTTTCCATTGCTGTGAGGACACTTCACCTAACTCCACTTCCAATCACAACTGAACACAACGACGATACGGAAGTAGTGACTGTTTTTCTCCCACATCATCATATTGGAGGAGGAGAACAACGAGCGGCACAGTACCGCTCGGCGCTGGGGCACACTGCCTCATAGCGGACAGGGGTGGAAATGGTGGCAAGGACTCTCTTTAACATGTACGGTACACAAAGAGAAAAGGGAGGTATAATGCTAGGAAGAATATGATTATTTGTCAAAGCAATAAAGACTTTTCTTCTAGTCCGCAACATTTTGTTGTAACATTTATGGAAAACAGGGCGATCGTGGCTCAAGAGTTGGGAGTTCGCCTTGTAATCGGAAGGTTGCCGGTTCGAGCCCCGGCTTGGACAGTCTCGGTCGTTGTGTCTTTGGGCAAGACACTTCACCCGTTGCCTACTGGTGGTGGTCAGAGGGCCCGGTGGCGCCAGTGTCTGGCAGCCTCGCCTCTGTCAGTGCGCCCAGGGCAGCTGTGGCTACAATGTAGCTTGCCATCACCAGTGTGTGAATGTGTGTGTGAATGGGTGAAAAGGAGTTTTGCGTTTTGTGTTTGCGTGGGTTCTCTCCGGGTACTCCGGCTTCCTCCCACCGTCCAAAGACATGCAGCTTGTGGGGATAGGTTAATTGGATAATCCAAATTGCCACTAGATGTGAATGTGCGAGTGAATGTGCGAGTGAATGGTTGTCTGTCCCTGTGTGTTAGCCCTGCGACAGACTGGCGACCTGTCCAGGGTGTACCCTGCCTCTCGCCCTATGACAGCTGGATAGGCTCCAGCGCCCCCCGCGACCCTGAAAAGGAGAAGCGGAAGCGAATGGATGGATGGATGGATTTATGGAAAACAACAACCTGCATCCCAGCAAACAGTCCCCCAATTCCCTAAAGGTCATATTTTGGACAAAAATGATTTTGTAAAACCTTGCAGATAGATTTGATCAGAGACGACTATGGACAGTATAATGCTATGATTTGGTTAGAAACGCATTTGGTTAAACTTTGGTTATGCGCTTCTTCCTACCCGGCTACCGTAGGTCATAGCGCGAACCCACGTGGTTAATCAAAACATCATGGCGGCTGGCTTCAAGTAAGAATATACAAGCTCTCCGTTCTATGTTAGTGAAAATATCACTTTTAGTTTGCTCTGTTTATTTTTTCCTTTACTTACCAGCGGAGTAAATGCATATTTGGTGTTATAATAAATTAAATTATTTATTACACAAAATAAAACGAAAATACCGGACATCATGCATGTGACATACAGCGCACTTTATTCATTCTTGTGTCACAGCTGTAGTTTATGACTGGCTCAGATATTTGTCATTGACGTGTATAGCAAGAGTACTCGGTCACTCTCTTCGCTGTGCTGTTTCTGACGGAGCTTCTGATGTGTCTGTGCTATGGCTTTCTTTACCGCGTTCCCTTTTATCTTGCAGGACTGCTGAGCCTCTGGAGTACCACCGGAGCTTTCTAGTCAGTGTTGAAAACAAGTTTATCCAACACTTGACAGACAAGTGTTGCTCTCTGGATAGATATGAACTGTTATTTGTTTCTCGTTTCTCTTCAGAAAGAAAACTGTCGGCCTGATGGACGAGAGCTGACCGAATTCAGAACCACAACACTGAACATAGGTGAGACTTCCCCACAGTGTGTGTGCGAGAGAGAAGTTTCTGTAACCTACATAGGATTTTTAATTTTATTTCCATGTTTAGGGTCAATTTCCACAGCAGATGGCTCAGCCCTGGTGAAGCTTGGAAACACCACAATCATATGTGGAATTAAAGCGGTAAACACATTTGCTTTTCCTTTTTGTTGTTGTTGTTTTATTTCGTGAGTGTGGACCAGGTTGATGAGTACTCACCTATATCTCCTCCTCCTGCAGGAGCTAACAAACCCTACAGTGGAGGCACCTGGTAAAGGCTACATTGGTAGGTGTAGTAAGAAGTCTTCGTTTTCTCCCATTCTTTCTTTGTTAATTATCTGATATCACATCATTCAAACATTGATGTCATCTCTGTCAGTGCCCAACGTGGACCTGCCACCCCTGTGTTCCTCTCGCTTTCGTCCGGGACCACCGGGAGAGCAGGCCCAGGCTGCCAGCCAGTTTATCGCTGATGTCATTGAAAGGTGCGCGACTTCAATATATGTTAGCTTTTTTAGTTTTTATTTTAAATGAGTGACAGTTTTTAAGCCTGGTGCTGGTTTAACTGAGTTTTTATGTGGCTTTTTGAAGCTCTGAAGTGATAAAAACAGAGGATCTGTGCATCGACAGAGGAAAGGTAAACCCAAGAGTCGCGGAGCTACACTGACACACAATTTGACCTTTAATTATCCAGCCATGGGTACTAAAACTGCGGACTCTTGTTGCAGCTCTGCTGGGTGCTGTACTGTGACCTCATGTGTCTCGACTATGATGGGAACATATTGGATGCTTGTGTTATCGCTCTGCTGGCTGCTCTAAAGAACAGTATGTAAATTTCTACTGTAATGTAAATTTTAAAAAAAATAAAAATAAGTCCATGTGTCGTAACTGGTAATAATCAGTAGTTGAAACAAATCAGTAGTTTTTCTTTAAGCAGTACATGAACTTAACAGTATCCTGGCTCCTCACAGCACGACTCCCAGAAGTCACCATCAACAAGGAGACCTCTGCACCAGAGGTGAATTTAGAAAAGAGACGTGAGCTTCAGATTCACAAACATCTGGTCAGCGCTTCTTTTTGCATCTTTGATGAGTAAGTTTGTCTAACCATTATAAAAAAAAGAAAAAACCCAAAAAACAAATTTATAATTTCTATTTTTAAGTGATATGTGCTTCTTTTTCTAATCCTGGCCTAATCTTGCTGCAGTTCCATACTGATTGCGGACCCCACAGCTGAGGAGGAGACTCTGTCAACAGCAAACCTGACGGTGGTGACTGATGAGGATGACCGGCTCTGCTCTGTGCACAAACCAGGTGAGAAATAAGTTTGAAGGGATTTGCCTTTCTGAGACTGCATGGTATGTAGCATGAATCTAATTGGGTTGAAGATATTTTGGGCTTATCCCTTACTGGAAGAGCCAAAGCGTGTAGCTGATTTGCCAGATTTAATGCCAATGTCCTTCCTGGCACGATGCCAAAGGGGATTTATGTTTCTAGTTGGGGTAGAATCAGCAATCCTTCATTTGCTTGCCAAGCAAATGTGTTAACCACTACGCTATGGAGCTACTCCTTTACCTGATTTAGTATTAACACAAAAAAAACGTCCTCAAAATACCCCTGTTGTATGAATCAATGCATGTGTAATAGTAACACAAACATAAACTGACGGCTTCAAAATGAACACTCAGGTTCAGTCAACAGAAATTAAAAAACAAAAAACAACAACTCAAAAATGCCAAAAAGACATTTTTAACTTAACTGGGAAATACTGTTCTATACATTGCTACTTGTTGCTCAGGTGGGACATCACTGTCAGGAGAGAGGCTGCAGGAGTGTATCAGCCGAGCAACAACACGACAGAGAGAGATCCAGAAACTCATTGACAAAGTTGCACACAGTGTGAAGAAGGCACAATAATGACACTTGGACGATGTTTTTTTTTTTTTTTTTTTTTATCTAAAAGTTGTATTTTTCACTGTCAATATATATTCTTTTTTTTTAATAACAATAAAACTGCTGACAAAGACCGCTTTAAAAAATTATTTCTCAGTGTCCGGAAATGTCTCACACACACTCACTTGATGTCTCGTAAGAATACGCTCATGGCTCCTGTACTAATTAAAAGGAAATGCCTTTTCAAAATGTGCTGTACAAAAGCAGGTACACCATCTTGCATGATGATCTTGAGTCCTCGTTTGAGCCCTGTGCTGGGACTGCTTAAAAGAAGAAAGACTTCCAACAGACTGAGAGGTAGAGAGCTGCCCCCAGGCACAATTCCAAGATCAGATTTGCATTTCACATGTAACGGTTACACAGGGAGGATTTGGTGTCAGTACGCTCTGTCGGGATCCGTGCTTAAAGGGCAGTTTCTACCTGGGTCAACCGAGCAGAGGCAGGAGGATCGGGCTTCTCGAGGGGAATCCTCTGAGAATGTGCATCTGCGATCCTCTCAGTTCACAGGGCCTCCATCAGAGACAGCTCTTCCACAAAGGAGGGGGGTGGTGCGTTATTGTGGAAGCCCACTACCTACAACAATCCTCTTCTGTGTCATCTCAAAAAATAGCATTAATATTTTTTTTTTAACTTTAGGGCTCCCTTTTCTAACCCCCCCCCCCCCCCAAATCCCCTACGGTGGACACAGTTTTGGTTCTCTCCCAAACATCTGACAACCATTACATACAAATTTGTCAGCTAGAAAAAGACAAACAGAAAAGAGTTTTTTGTGGGGTTTTTCGTTGTTTTTTTGCCTACACTCTCGACAGCGAGGCAGGTAAAGAGCACAATATGGATCATTCACGTCCTTTTGTGTGTGGATTTGGGTGGGGGGAAGGTTTTAGTGTGATTTAAGTCTTTCATGATTTGGGGAGGGGCTGAGGCGTGCTCCTCTTCCTCTTACTTCTTGGTTGGCTGGCGGTATGGTGCCGTGGCACTCCCCCCTGAGGAGCTGCTGCTCCCATAGCCATTTGCTGCTGCTGCTGCATTTGGTGCTGCAAGAATTGCAACTGTTCAGTGCAAAAAGAAACATGGAAGAAGGACAAAAAAATAGACTTCAGTATGTTACGACAAATAAGATAATGCAGAAAGAAATAATGATATTGACTTTAAGATTTATGTAAGCATCTCAAGCTCGTTTAACACATGTAAACTGGAATCCCTTGCTAAAACGTCGTCTAGCAGAGTGCCTTGTGTCGTACAACTGGCATGGGTTAGTGAAGCTGATCTAAAGCCTGATACATAGAACATACAAGAAGAGTGTGCGGAGAAACACAGGAGAGTGGTTAATGGGTTGCAGAGGGGAAGGAAGAGGAAGGAAGAGATAAGATTTGGGGCAGGTCATGTTTTGGGGAGTGAGGCGGGATACAGTCAAGCAGCACCAGTGGCGTCTGGAAGACAAAAATTATTGGCTGTGATCCTGGCATAAAAACAAACAAACAAACATGCAGCTCAGCAAACCGTGCGTTGTGCTCAGAGTAAGCCAGCAACCTCAACTGGGCAAAAGAAAAAAAATCTTAACTCAGATTCATGCTTACAGTGGAACAACTTAATGTCTCTGTCGCAATGCCGCCGGCTACCTTTCAGCGGTCTGTTCCCAGTGACACAGTTTCAGAACCTGCTGCTAAATGGCTGTGCAAGAACATGCCTCCCACTCTGACACTTTGTTAGTTGTTGCCATTGGAAGTGCTGCGAGCTCTGGTGTGTGGGTTGCTGGAAGTACTGGGGCTACTGTGGTCTTTATCAAACAGCATAGTAACCAAACATACAACACAATATGGAGTGAATGGTGTTTATCTATAAAATGTATTTGAAAGAAGATTTTTATAAAAACTTATAATTATTTATTTATTTTAGGAAAATAATACGGTTTATACTAAAACTATCTCAGTATTATATAAAGGTTATGGATGGAAGCTATTTTTAAAATCCATTAACGTGATAAAAATACTAAATCTATATGTCATAAAGCTAGTTTACCTAATTCCCTCACACTTTATGGTGCAGCACAACAGAAGCCTGCAAGCTAAATAAAAACAAGGAGAGCTGGTGGAAGCAGGTGTGTCTAATCTCAATAGCTCTTATAAACTCTATATGTGTATATGGATGTTAATGTTGCCGTATTACTTGGATCTGTGGCTGGTGCTGCTGCTGAAGCCTTGGAGAAGGCAGCGGGGGCCCAGACCCGTCCAGCCCACAGCCCAACTGGGACAGCACTAAGGTGGAGGGGAAGGGGAGGAGGGAGACAGGGAGCCCCAGAGGGAAGGACATGATGGCGAGAGGGAAAGAAGCAGCAGAAGAAGGAATGGGGGGGGGGAAAAGTGTAAAGACAGGAAATGAACAAGTGAAAAAAGTAGAATATTTGCGAGGATTAGCGGGAGAGCAGGGGTGAGTTGTGGTTTCAGGAGTGCGTAAACACACACAGAGATGGAAGAGAGAGAAGCAAAAACAAATGTTGCAGGGAGGCCAAAGATAAATGACCGTGTGCGTTGAGTTTTAAAAAGCGCATTATGGAGAAATAGCGTGAATTGGGAGATTCAGGGAATTTAGCGAATAGGGCAAATTGAGAAGAGGGACAGGAGGACAGTGTAGGAGGAAAGACAGAAGGGTGGGGGCAAAAAAAAAAAAACAATTAAAAAAGAAAAGAGAAAATGTGGCAGAGAAGAAGGGGAAGTTGAGTCTCTCCTGTCAGATGTTACATGTTCCACTGAGAGGAACAATGGCTAACTTCAACAAAATGGTCATGTTTAGTTACAGACTGAGAGTCCTAACGAACAGTAATTACAGTCATGAATACATTAGTACATCTTATCTTATTAGTACTAGTTAGTGTCACGGTGTCATTTTGTTTAGGAACAGGTTAATGAAGAGAAATGTTTTGCGTGTGTGTGTGTATGTGTGCTTGTGCGGCTCATACCTGCTGCCTGTGGAGACATGAAGCCTCCCACTCCCAGATTTATGACAGCCGTTTGCTGGTTCCCTAAACTTTGATCTGACCCCTGGTCACTCTATGAAGAAAGTCAAAGACAACACAAGGCTGTCACACACAACTGCCACCAAAGCAGAACATGTGACAGTAAATCACACACATATATATTTAAAAAACTTAAAAGGGGCAAGCAGTAGTGATTTTGGTTCCATATCGTTAGGAAGTGAAATGTTTTGGCAGTGGTTACAGATTCTGTACATCACGGCCGCTAGATGCCATTCCCTGTTATTCCAATCAGATTTGTTCAAATTAATCTTTTTTAAGATGCAGAGTGTCTCAATAACTATTAAGAGGTGTAAATATTTCGCAACGACTCAAATCCAAGCAGGATTTATCAGGTTCAGTAGTTTCAAATTGTTGTTCTAAAGCCATTATTCATTCGCCTCTTTAGGACTACATTTCTTTTGTATTTGTGACTTTTTCCTAGTCAGTCTGGCATGCAGCCCAGTTACTCCATCGCATTAGTTTAATTTTAGCCCTTTTCCCATTGTACCTACTCGGCTCAACTCAACTTGGCCTTTTAGAGTTTTCCATTAGTTGGCAGTACCTGGTGTACTTTTGTAGTACCTACTCGCCAATCTGAAAATGTGGCATCAACAGACCACATACAACCGACTGGCCAATCAAGTCCTTCCCAAAAATCAAACCCAACATTTTTACAACACAGCAACGAGGGAAATGCCAAAAACCCAGCGTCGTACACCATCATCTCGATATCCTCCATTGCTGTGTCGTGTCGCATTAAAATGACGCCATGGGACTTTTGGCTGTGTTGCTATAACGACGGAAAACCCATTGAGATGGCACTCAACTGTAATGGAAAATGAATGAAATTGAGTAGAGCTGTGTTTAATCTAAAATGGTGGATTTGATTTTTGTGAAGGAGTCGCACTCATGACTCATTGAGTGATGCCACTGATTGGCCAATCGGTTGCATGAGATCTGTTGATGCCACATTTTTGGATCGACTCAGATCGCTTGGATCCCTGGGCTGAATAAGTACTAAAAAGTACATGGCAGGTACTGCCACCTAATGGAAAACCCTAAAAAAACCAAGTCGAGTCAACCCGAATAGGTTCAAGTGGAAAAGAGGCAGTACAGCGCTCCCTTTAAAACCATGCTAGTTTTCTCAGTTCACAGGTATGAATAGTTTTTGTATTCTATATTTTTTTAATAGGTGTGCCTAAGCTAACTAACTAAATGATGCCAAGCTACACATCTGTGAAGATGGACACTAAACATGACCAAAATCAAACCTCTCATATTTATTAGAAGATAATTTCTAACATCTCTCTGTTGCTGTAATTTAATTAAGATGTGTTCTTCTATACTATGAAAATATGGTGTTTGAGTCTCACCGTCTCCCCCCCTTGCTGCTGAGGACTGGAGGTGGCTGACTGACTCTGCTGTGGGGAGAACTGAGACAGCTGCTGCTGCTGCAGAGAATTAAAGATGAGAGGACCAGTGGGGATCTGAAGATGTAAAATACAAACACCAACGAACAAAAAGTGGTGGAATAAAACACAGGGAGATGAGGATGAAGGACAGAGGGAAGGCAGAGGGAAAGGAATGATGCACACGTAACCAAAAAGGGAGGAAAAAGGAAATGGAGCGTTAACAAAGAGATCGGCACTGATCATTATTACTATCAGACTAACAGAGCTAGAGCTACAAAGGACTATAAAGGGAATGGCACAAGCAGTGATCCTCAAACAGGCTGTGTCTGCATTCAGATTACATCCTTGACTTCTTCTGCTGCTATTCCTCTAGCAAAAAAAACCTTTGCTAAGAGACTCTTAGCAGTTCAAGAGGTAAAGGGGGTAAAAATGTTATAAAGCTAAGTTGTTGTTCAGGTCAGGACATTGCATAACAAAAGATGCATGCCCCTTATTGCACTAAAGCACTTTCAAGGGTTTACACTACATTGCATATGCAATGAGGTGTGGGGAAATTTAAGCTGCCGATTTCACTATTTCAGGTGTGCCAACACAGGTGAAGATCAGGACTAAGTCACTATGCCAAACAAATACCCAGTGCATGCTACTGAAAGTGTGTTAAGACTAAACTGTAGAGTCATACCTGGAGTAGGTTCAGAGGTCTCAACCCAGCACTGCTATTCAGGCCAAAAGGACTCCCTGGAAAACAAATCGGAGTTACCACGAAACAGCGAGACAATCAGGGCTTTATCTTATCTCTTCTAATGTCATTAGACCCAGTCTTTTTTTTTTTTTTTTTACTGGACAGGTACACACTCTAGAACTGGATTTAATTAAAAAAATAACTCTGTAAATGTAATGCAAAGGTAATAAAAAGGGGGACATGACTATGGAATCTTACCCGCCTGTGCTGCAGACTGCATGGTAGGCATCAACCCTCCAGTTGGCAGGATTCCACTCAGGTTTAAGCCTGTGCCCAGCATGGGATTGGAGCCACTCATCAAAGCCTGAGGACTGCTACACAGACAGTACAAGATCATTATTAAAAGCGACAGTGATCAGCAGGTGCTATGTGGCATTCGTGACAGTTTAAAATTATTACCAGACTGAGCTGACCACGTTGATGAAATTGAGCCCTGCTGGATTGGCCATGACCTGTGACGATGTGGTTCCTGTAGTGATGGATGTACCCATGGTGGGCAGGGGAATAGTCATGACGGGCAGCGTCTGGCTTAAAGCTAGCGGCTGTTGGGTAAAAGGCGTGAGGAGGGCATTCTGTGACTGGTTCTGAACCAAGGGAGGGTCTGAAGGGGTAGGGGTCACTGAAAGAGGAGCGGAGAGGGCATCAGGGGGGTGAGGGGTCGAGCATGGCGTATTGGTAGGCGTTGGGGTAGATGGCTTGGGGGTTCCCGATCCTGAAAGGGGGAAAGAGGGCCAAAATAGTACAACACTTTAACAAGACACAGTACTTTTCAGTCAATTAAAATCCATTATTAAAACTAAATTTAAATTATGAGGCACTAGTTATACCAAAACCTGATCCCCCTTTTAATGTCAATTTGCGTGACATCTTAGTTAATCCTTTGATAATACTACAGAGAATAGGGCTTGCAGTTGTCCAGTATTATGTGTATTTGCTAAGCTCCCAATATGTTACTGTTTTTCCATTTTTGTCAACATAATTTATCAGAATATGTTCAAAAACTCCAAATTGGGAAAATTCAGAAGCTTAAAGCAGATTTAAAACATTCCAGAACAACTAATCGGACTCCAGCACTCACTCTGATTGGATCCCATTGGGGAGAGGGAGGCAGGTGACAGCAGGCCCACCTGGCCCAGCTCCATTGAGTGCTTTCTGTTCAGAGACTGGCTTTTGGCTGGAGGGGGTGTAGGACACTTAAGTAGACCACTGGTGGTTTGTGAACTATATGGATTACCTGAAAAATAAAGACATAACATATTTATAATAGAGATGGCACGATACCACTTTTTTATGTCCGATACCGATACTGATATCATAAATTTGGATATCTGCTGATACCAATATAAATCCGATATAGTGTATTTTATAATCAATAAAACGGTTTTTTTAATATCTTGCTGCTTTTTGTGTAAGTTCGTACTCAAGTTTAAAAAACAAAACAAAACTAAATCTATTCTGTTATACCTGTATGCAAAAAATACACTGCACCCAAAATATTTCATAGTTCAGCAATACTGAGCTAATAAACTTAAACCTACACCATCCTCCCTATGCTGGTATTTTAAAGAGTAATTCGTGGAAATACTAAGCAACCTAACTAATAGGGTTGCCAACTCCCAGCAAAAAAAATAAAAAAATAGGGAACCACCCCCACCCTCCACCTCATAATGCTTAATTGACGTAATCGACTTTCATTTAATGCATGTGTAAAAAAAGAAAAGAAAAGAAAAGCACAGAAATCAATACTTTTTCTACAATAATTAAATAGATTCAACATCTTTCTTCAACAGAATTGCAGACTGCACAGATAGTACCTTCCCAAAGGAAAAATTACTGTAGTTTACTAGGTTATAAATTGGACATAATAGTTCCTATATACAATAATGGATTTCTGTACATTTCACATCAGATGAAAACATTGGTTGTAAGATTCAGATAGTTATTTATTAAAAACTAGACATAACAATTAGAAAGAAAACTATGTCTTTGTGCCCCCCCTTCCCTGTTAATGCCCTACTAGTCGTCAGCTACGTAGAAAAGGATCCTGGTGTAGAAAGTAATATTAAATAAATTCTAACAACAGCTTTTTTATTTCTCTCCGATATCCGATCCAGTAATTTAGGTCAGTATCGGACCGATACGTAATATCGATCGGTCCATCTCTAATTTATAATACTCTTTTCCAAAAAGAATGCACTATTAGAGCAGATCTGGTTCCACCTTTGCTGAGAATGACCTTGAACAGACTCAGAAACATGTTTGCAGTGCACTTAATGCCTCTCTTATAATGCAACTTAATTATCCTAAAGAATCAAACTAGCAGATTTGCCTGCAACCCTTTTTTCCCTTCAAAGTAGCACACAAATATGGGGTGTTTTTAGCCACTAATTAAGGATTTGTGTGACGTCAATGAACAATCGCACTAGAAGTAGAAGTTGTACCTGAGGAGCTGCTTCCTGATCCTGACGGCAGTTTGATGGGAGGGGGCCGGTGCTTCACCCCTTTTCCCAACAGAGAAGTCTGGACCAGTGGAGAAATACCATCACCCTGCGTGTGACAGTTAAACCTGTTTTTTAGCCGCACTGCATAACAAGAGTAACCCAAAAGTAATGTTCTCATCTGCACTAATTCCAAATCACCAAATATTGATCAGTTTGACACATCTGAATCTCCCAAGCAAAGAAGCATGAATCTTCATGTTTACCTCATCTTTGCTAGGGGAGGGAGGCCCCTGACCCATGTTGCCTGAGTTATGGGACACTTTGACCTGACACTTGACGTCTCTCTCATACACTCCTTTGTACTGAGTAAGAAATCTGTTAAAAAGACAAAAACCTTGCATCACACTTTCCTAACACCAGATCCCTAAAAAGTCTGTATGAATGAATGAATTTCTGAAGAGTAGCCCACAATGTGACTTACCGGTCCGCATCAATCTTTGAACCTATGAGGAAACTGTGAATGACACACAAAAAACGATGAAGATTAATTTAATCAAAGCAGCATTTTAAATTCAGTTTAATATAACCAGTTTGTCTTAAAGGTGTCCTTACGGAGGATGTATGAGCTTTAGGTCTGGACTGTCGTCCTCTGCTTTTGATTCTTTAGCACAGTAGATCTTCCCGTACACAAGCGGGTCTCCCATCGACTGGAAAATAGAAACCTTGGTCCTCTGAGCTTGGCCCCCAACTTCACACTCAAATGTGTAGTCATCTACAACTTCCTGTGTAAGGAAAAAAAAATAAGAGGACAAAAAAATCTAATGACAAGAACACCTTAAATGGATGTGTGCAGTGACATTATATTATTGTGCAAAATTTAGCAATTAAGTATTGTAATCATACAGTCCGTATATTTAATGTATGGTAGAACTACCTGTAGCATCTTCAGTTCCAATGCTACAGTCATAATAGAAATTGTAGCTACTGGGAGAATAGTATTGCTAACTTGGTTTATATAAATATTTTGACTTTATATAATATTAACACATTAAGACATATTGAGAAGAAGCAGAGGTTGAAGAGAGTTGGGAGTAAGCAGTCTTTAATGTGGATATTAAAAGACACATTCCCTGTATTGAGCTTCAATTCTTTAACCTTCAGGCGACCAGATGACCCCAACTTCAAATTTATATTTTCCATTATCATGTTTTTAATTGTAAAAATGTTACATGCCACATGTTTAACAATCTACTTCTCCAACGTTTTTCCCCATTTTTAAAACAGAAACTAACCGATTGTTGTAGCAAAGGATAATGGAAACTAATATGGAGTCATAATTCATGGCTTTATATTTTAGTGTAATTCGTTGATAATTAAGCTTCTGAGTTTTTTGTTTGTTTGTTCTTTTACACAAAATATTTTAATGGACATGGACTGAACCACCACTCACAACCACTAGCACTTTATATAGCCTCTGTAGAAATTATCTACACCCTCACTTATCTTAACTGCACTACTGTATAGCTCTGTGTAAATAATCATTCTGTACATATGATAATTTTTAACCCTACAACTGTTTACAACTTGCATAGTTCCCATTTCTGTATAGCTGTATATCTCAGATTTCTGTAAAGTTATTTATTTCATATTCTGTATAGTTTTTCATATTTATATCCTGTTCATAGCTTGTACTCACTACAGCCTGTACATACTTATAGTTATAGAATATTCACAACATACTTCATACCGTGTACATTATAACATACCATAATAGACCCATTTCTGTAATATACTCACATATCTATATTATTGCTAATATATATTGTAATATATCTGTATCACTAAAGCACTTCTGGATGGATGCAAACTGCATTTCGTTGCCCTGTACCTGTGCAATGACAATAAAGTTGAATTCTATTCTATTCTATTAAATGCAACACAAGTCAAATATGATGCATGTCTAGATTAAACAGAAGCATGGGGGTAACAAAGGCTGAACAAGACCCTGATGAACAAGTATTGCCTAAACAAATGAAAAATTGATGTAAATTTACTTGTAGAATTTTTTTTTAAATTTATTTTATCACATAAAAATGACTGAAAACCATCATTAATCATATCAGAAAATTTTAGCAGATTTGTGACGGACAAGGAAATGGTACAAGCAACTGGATGTATTTAAAAAACACAGCATAAAAAGGTGACAGTAACAACCTCAACTCGGTCATTTTATTGGTCAGTCCCACAACATTAAAAGTGGGACAACCTCCTTGTGGATAGGGGGAAAAAATCAGTGGTTATCTGTGGACTGCATAATTTTTTTTTAAATTTATTTTTGCCCTTGAAGACCAATTGCAAGTAGCTGCACCATAGTTATCTCAGTTTTTTAGAGACAGGTTGCCTCCCACCATGTATCCTGTGCAAACACTTTGCAATTGCAAAGGCTGCTTGGTGGGAGAGATGTCTCTAAACACCTGTGGTCTGACTCAGACTGACTGCTATCACTCTCAGACAAATTGGAAAAGATTAGTATATAACTGCCGCCTCATTTACAAACAGAAAAGAATTGGAATCAATCTGAATCAGTCTGTGCCAGTAAGCTCGACTTATCTGTGACATCTCTTTGCAATAGGAGACTCGGCTCAGCTGGTTAAGTAAATGCATAAAACCAAGTTGCAGAGCACCTTTATCACTTTCCAGTTAAGCTGCCATCCTGCAGCAACTGTGTCACTATTTGTGGAAGAACTACACTGTAGAGTGTGAGAATGTAAATGTTTGCTTTTCTTCCTTTAAAGAAATAATTACCATTTCAAACAAACACTCCTTGCTTATTTCTGACAGCAAACAGCCATTAATGATCTCAACAATGTAAGGTTATCTGCTGCAAAACTTACCTCAGCAGGCCAGATCACAGTTTTATGTTCAGAGCTTGCCAACTGCAAAGACCTCTCAACCACAGCGTACTTTTCCACCTAAATCAACATACATATAAAACTGTCTGTTACAGGGAGCACATTTCATTGCCAAGCAATCACGTGTGTAGTATTAAGTGGTTGTTGTTTTTTATAAGTAGTGTTGGATCAAGTATTTAAGTGTGGGTTTTATAAAAGAGCCACTCACATCAATTTCCTTGGGCACAGTTAGTTGGCAGTTGTTCTGCTTCCACATGTCAACACACTGCAAGAGATGATAGTTGACAAGCCAGAACAACAGGAAGAAAAACAGGAGGTGTTAGAGAAAATCTGTGAGAATTAAGTGACGTGAGATTTTTGTCAACGATAGCTAACAGTAAAGCGGAACACACCAGAGTACTGACACACCAACTTGTTTTCACCTATTGTTCTAATGGCTCCCTTTGGGTTTAGTCGATAATTTAGAAAAATGTAAATAGACAAAAAAATGGGATCTGTGCTTTGGGACACAGTGAATAGACCCGAGATTTTACCATGGCTGTTATGCGAAGTAACATCATCTACAATTATATTGTCATAACAAACAGGCGAATGATTCTCATTTAGGAAAACGTCTGCCAAATTTATGTGTCCCGTTTTCATGTAAAACTGTAAATGATCACAAAAGTATCAGCTTTTAGAAACATTCAAAAACACAGAAAGTGTCAGTGAGATAGTAGCTCATCCAGCTCGTGAGCCATCACAATTCAGAAGTGATTGTGCAGAATTAAGGTTATAAGTTCTGTTGTCACTGACTGGCTGTGTAATCTAACGAGGATTCAAATCCACTAAGAAATCAAAGAATCTTACAAATAGTCATATCCAGAATTATTAATTATTATTCTTTCACTTAAATCTGACAGATCAAGGAGGAGTAGCAATTCTTGTGAATTGTGGAGGGATGGAATAGACAGACACCTCACCGTTGAATAAACTTATAGGGCCATTGACTGGATGAGCTAAAAATAATTAATGCAGCAATCAAATTGAAACAAATTTTTGGCATTTATCTTAACTCTTCTGTACAAAAGGTCAGATATCCTTGAGCTATGTCTTCCCAATGAAGCAGAAGATGCTCATATTGGTGCCACGGCAACTCTGTTATAAATACGGCTGTACCTCGAATTTCCAGGTCAGTGTTACTTTTTTTTTTTTGCCTGTCCCATTTGGTTCTTTAGCCGTCAGAATTGTTGTCTGAAGACCACCCAGGATACCCAATGGATTTACTTTGCCAAATGGATCATCACGGCCTTGCCGTATTGGTCCATTTGATCGACCTTTGTTGTTATTATTTATTTTATTTTATTTTCAGTTGTTACAGACGGGGCAGACATGACTGAGGGATAGGAAAGGGAGAAAGAAAGATGAAGGAAAAGAAAAACAGAAGGGAAGAGGGACAGTGAGAAAGGGCACTTAAAAAGAGAAAGAAGAGGAAAAAAAATCTCCTGGGTCACCTGTTGAGAGAAAAAGAAGAGAAAACAAGCAAAAAAAACAGAGCAACATCAATCTAGCTAAGTGTAAACAGCAGTAAATACTAAATGTTCAATGTTGTTGTGTAGCAAGCAGGACCGACAGCGCACAATGTGCTTGGAAATAGCAGCCAATAAAGGTGTAGTTTATGTCTATGAACAGTGAACACCCGTGTGCACACCTGTGTGGATCAGCACGCTTGTATTCAAAAGGTTTCCCCATGTAATGGTCTGCTAGAGGATGTAGAGAGCCATAGCCCTGTCCCCCAGGGCATGAAGCAGGCATGGAGGAGATCCAGGCTCCAGACATCCAGAGGCCCCAGAGTGCGAGAGCCCAAGGAGGACCACCGGAGGGGCATCCGTGCCACCCTCCTGGGAAGAGCTGAGGAGAGCCCCAGATGAGGGGTCACCCAGTAGCCACGGAGCAGAAGCCAGAGGGGGCTGCAGTGGCGTGCCCGCCGGTCTGAGCCAGCTGTGCCAGAGTGAACCGAGCCGCAGGCCCAGAGGCCGGAGGCCCGAGGGCCCCCTTTGCCCCGGAAGAGGCCTGACCGAGCAACAGGCACCAGGCCCTGCCAAGTAGTCACCTAGACCCAGGAGATGTTACCCTTTCCCCCGGGGTGGAGGCAAGCAGACCGCCCCAGGCTCCGCAGCAGCAGGGAGGCCCCGCATCCCAGATCCCAATCGGACGGCCAACACCTCCTCCCAGCCCCCCCGCCCCGATGGCCAGCAGAGAACAGGGTGTGTGAAGACCCCAAACCTCCCTCCTCTCGCTCATGTGTAGTGTTGCTGCGTGTTGTTCTAAGGTGCATTTAAAACACGGGAGAGCATGGTGCTGCTGCCAGAGAGCAGCAGGTGTTAGCACGGCCCCTCCCGAGAACCCTCAATGTCTACATGGATTTAAAATTGAGAGGTGGGCACCGGCGCCAGAGGTGGGGTTGAATACACAGACCGTCCACTGGACGCCGTTAACGTGCCCACCCTCAAGGCCCTATATGTATGTGTTATGAGAGTGTGAGTAATGTGGATGTCTAAGTTGTGGAATAAAATTGAGGCACAGGTGGCCAGAAGGGGACGGGGGGGGGATGCCTCCCCTGCACCCTGGTGACACACCCGCACCCCAAGGCCCTACTTGTGTGGGTGGGTGTGTTGGAGCGGGAAGAGGGAGGCAGCCGGGGATGGGGAGGAAAAGAAGGGAGGAGCAAGATGCCCCTCCCTGGGGCCAGCTCCCCCGCTGACCCCAGTAGGCACCCCCGTCCTTCGGCACCCACCAAGGCAAGGGAGCCCAGGCCCATCCAGATCGGGGCCTACGGCAGCAGGACCGCCCAGCCCCACAGGACCCGGGGCAGCCCACCCGACCCCACCGCAGAGGAAACTGTACCCACCCTAACATTCAATCATCTCCCAGACTGCACAAGACAGTAGACACCCAGGTTAAGTTTATTCTCCACCTCTCCTATGTCTCTCCCCCACCTGCAGAGTGGACTCCTACAAGGATGGAACAAACTCCCTGTCAGTTGAAGAGCCCCCTAGTTAGGCCGATGTGCCAGAGGCCCCCTGCGCCAGGGCTAAGCCCCCATGCACCCACCCGCCCACAACCTCGGCGACACACCAACAAGGACCTAAGCCCCCAAGGCCCAGCCAGAGCCCTAGCACGGAGGCGAAGCACCCATGAACCCCAAGCCCCCACGCCTGCCCCGCATCCACTCAGGGGCAGCCAGGCTACCAGGCCAGTAACCTACGTCCGCCAGCACAGACCCTCCCCCAGCCCTGCTGCACACAGCCACAGGGAAAACACCTTGGTGCAGCTACTTGCAGAACAGGTCAGTGTTACTTACTAAATGACATAGTTAGAGCGGGAAACGGAGCATCAGAACTAACTGTGCTGTCTTTGAGAAGGGCTTTCTCAGAGTCAATCACGCCTAGCCTAGAGGCTACCAAAGCCTCCAGTGGATGTAAAATACTGCACCAACAGTGCTAACAAGACAGATCATATTTCTCCCATATTAGGTTCTCTTCATTGGCTCCCTGTTAGAATTGAATGAATTGAATTTAAAATTCTTCTCCTAAAATACAAAATCTTGACCAATCAGGACCCATCATATCTTAAAGGCCTCTTAGTATCATGCTATCCCAAAAGAACACTTTGCTCTCAAACTGCTGGCTTACTTGTAGTTCCTAGAATTACTTAAATTAGAACAGGAGGCAGTGCCTTCAGCTATTAGGGCCCTCTGCTGTGAAACCAAATCCCAGTTTGGATTCAGGCCCTCACCTTCCACGTAACCTGATGTGTACCTCCCGAGAAATGCAACCACACTTGGAGCTGACGCAGCATGACTGGTGCGGATTATGGAATATGTCTAAGAGGGGATTGCAGTTACACTGCAAGTTACAATGTTACAACGTAGATTTCCCGCATGTAGATTTCGTAGATTTCAGACTAATGCCTGAACTAAAGCACAATTCAGGCATTCGTCTGTGTTTAGTTTTATGTCCTTTTTCACTCTTTTTGCTCCCTGACCCTGATTCTGCTGGAGGCTTCTTTAAATATTTCCTTCCAATTGTCACAATTTCTTGATCATGAGGGGGATTGCCTCATTGTTGGGGTTTCCTCTTGAATACCGCAAGGTCTGTAACTTGTGATTTGAAGCGACATAAATAAACCTGAATTGAGGGGCATGGCATAAAAAATGGATCACCTGCATCCATTATAATAACATGGACCCTCAGGTTTTACACAAACTTGTGGAGTACATACTGTTAATAAAGCCAAATGGAGGAGACAAAATACAAGGAGATACAAATATAATCTATAATAAAGTAGTAGTAGTCCCAGTTCATACTTTTGGACCTTGATATATACTTTACAAACTGTGTGGATGTTTCCCACTTACGTTTCCGATCTTTGAGATCTTCAGGTCTATGACAGGCGCGGGTTTCCTCTCTTTTCTTCTCTGTAGGTAGTCGTAGAGTCGTAGCTGTGGTGGTATGGGAAGGTGGGATAGCTCCTGCTGCCTGTTCAGTGCAGCCCGAGAGTGCCTCTTGAAACACCTACAAAGCAAACAATTAACGCGTGTTAACAAAACCAAGGTCTTTGCTTCATTTATTGGCTTTTTTCCTTTATACAGTCACAGAGCTTGCACTTCCCTGCCTTCAATTTCACAAAATAAACATCCGTAAATGAGATCTTTATCCTGGCATAGCCGATTTCACACTGAGCTGGCTTCAACCTAGATGAACATTAGAGGGTATTCAGTACCGTTTCATGGAGCGAGTGTTCATTTTCTGTTTGTTGTAAAGCAGGCGGTTAGCTGTGCAAGTAACAGAAATGGAGGGGTCCAGGCACAGAGGTTCAGCTGTAGCCAAAATCAACTGACTTTCCAACTGCAGTTTGTCATCCTAAAGCAAAGAGAAAGGACATGTTACAGAAAACACCTGAGCCTGGAAAATTCTGGGACGGAGCACCACACTAGTAACTCCAAATGCACTTTAAATGAAAACACACAACAACATGTTTCAGATAAAACATACTGAACAATACTTTACCTGTGTCCACTTGTGGTGGTCACTGGTCATGGCATGGACATCACAGATGAGAGTCTGCAGGGAAACAAAGTTGTTATGAATATAATGTAAGTCAGATTTATTGTGCTAAAGATCTAATGTGGTTTTCCACTCATGCCTCCTCATAATCTTATTCTGTCTTTACCTGCATGGTTGGCCGCAGTAGGATATGTCTGCTCTGATAGGTGGGAATCTTGGTATTACCAGACTGCCGGTAGTCTCTGACCTCTACTATTACACAGCCACAGTGGAAGATGTTCACCTGACACACAAAGCATGACCGAGAGGTGGTTACAAACACAGGGAGCTCATTAATCAAAATAGAAACCTTACATGGTTCTTAGCTCTTTATATATTTAAGCAGAAATGTGACACTTTTGCACCATCTTTTGTTTAAAATGATTGGATTTCAAAATGCACCACGCTTGCACACAACCTGTGATTTCTCCAACAAATCCACCAAAATAGGGGGCAACTCCTCAGCGTCGAGGTACTCCAGCAGTTCTCCTTCTTCATATGGCAGGCGAATGGTTTCAGAATCTAGAAAGTAACACAAACATGCAGGTGAGAACACTGCAGCACAAAGAGCCAAAAAACAAAACCCAACGGTCAATGTAATGATCTAACTTGACTTACCAGATCCATTTTTGCCCCTGAGCATTAAAGAATAGCCTTCATTCCCAGGGTACAGATTGACCACCAGACATGATACAGACTCCTGAGACACCAGCTTCTCCAGTAGATTCACATTTCTCCTCAAATTCTTCAGAGAGACAGCAAATGAAACACACAAAAGACAAATTCTCCTCATTAGAAGCACAAACCTTATTAGTTATACCTGCTTAATGGCATTTAAAAAAAAAAAAATTCTTAAAAAAAAAAAAGATATCTCTCTTGTGGCGAGTGCAACAGAACCAAGGACTCCTCGAAGTGAAGCCTAAGATGCCCCCCCC